TGTCAAAGCCAAAGTTCTCCGTCTCTTTTTTCTATTTTTAAAAAAAAAATGTCTCCATTGTGCCCCCCCAGCCACAACCGCATATATCAGCGGTGGCGAACTCCGGTCCTGGAGAGCCGCAGCCCTGCAGAGTTCAGCTCCAACCCTAATTAAAACTCACCTGCCTGTAGCTTCCTAGTAACCCTTCAGACCTTGATTAGCTTGTTCAGGTGTGTTTGATTAGGGATGAAGCAAAACTCTGCAGGGCTGCGGCTCTCCAGGACCGACGTTCGCCACCCCTGGCATATATGATCATTCAAATATGAGATCACATGACATGCAGTTTCAATACAGCAAATCTGATTAAACTTTGGAAATGTATTTAACCCAACTGTCTTTTATGAGCAAGTGCTGCAAGCTTTCCAAAAAAAGCTGATATATCAAACAGAGTAATCATCTCACATGACTCAATTATCCTGCTTTTCTAAAACTAGATAAAAAAAAAACTGAATATCCTGACTATTTTTGTAATTATGCAACTAAACAAAAGAACCATTCTGCAAAGCCCCAAATGCTGAAAGATGGTAACAATAGATGCGGGTTCCCCGGTATTTGGCCCCCTCTAGACCTTGCACAATATCTGGATATTTATTGTCTCAATAAAGAAAATGAAATACGTCTATTTTTTAATTTGACCCGTTACATGATTTTTTGCAATCTATGATTTGCAATCTATAACATATGGAATAATTAAGGAAAAAAGTAAATATATATATATATATATATAGTAAAAAATAAAATGACAACTCAATTGAGAAATGTATGGTTGGCATTCCAGACCAATTTTATATTTGATGCAAAATACATTAGTTTTACTTTCTTAAAATCTCTGGTCCTGTCCACGCTCCATCTGTGCATGTTATTCTAAAGAAAACTACATAAACTTTCATGTAATTGAAGCTATTTTACTTTTCAGGTTATGTTGTGAAACCCTTGCTGTTCTGGTGTGTAATGCTTACTTTTCCGTAAAAAAAAGCCAAATTATGGAAATAAAATGTTTACGCGTTGTTTTACATTAATTTTAGATTCTTACCAGGTTGCTCTTTTCTGAAAGCCATGCAAACATGAAAAAACCATAATGAAGTAATAAAAGCTAACAAAGTGTGCCAAATAACAACAACAGGTATTTATGAACTGTGCCGCCTGTGCATATGTGATGCAATTCTTAAGCAACTAACCATTTCCTTTTTTTTTTCTGCCAATAGGTATGAAGACATCCTCACAATTAAAAAAAAAAAATCACATTTTTTTCCTTTTACCTTTACTTACAAGGTAACATTGCTAGAACCAAAAGCGAACATCTTTCTCTCACACACTTCTAGCATATCAATTGTTGTGCAAAAGCACAGTAATACAAGCTCTGTAATCAGCCGTTATGTAAAATGGCAGTGAGTTCGCATATCAGCCCGTTATTAAAATCATCAATCTGATAGGATGTCCGACAATTACAGGGTGTAATTGTGTACTTGTCTCACCCATGTGAACCAACCCTAATCCACCACCTGTACACGGTGGATGCCACATCAGCCTGGCACACAGAGCGAGTGCAGTTTATCATTGATATGCACATATTCAAAAAAACATTAAACATTCTAAGTAACAGAGCTTGCTACAGTGGTCAGGGCAAATTCAGGCTCGAGCAGTCCAGCCAACTGAACAGCAGCCTGTTACTTTTAAATACATAAAAACTGACCATAATTCATGATAATGGCCATAAAAAGTGCTGCCACAAAATTAAACTACATAAGCTGATGCCAAAGTTCAACAAAGCCTTAAAAAAATACAAAAAAACACACATAAAATACTATTTAAATTGTTAAATGCTCACACACAGAACTGGGAAGCCTAACAATACATGGAGGGCTGTCTGCTTTCTGTACCCTCTATCCACAATTTACATTCATAGTGGACAGCTGGTGGTACTTTCAACAGGCTGTCAGCATATTTCTATACAAGATGCAAGCAATTCCACAATAATAAATGATATATAAAAAGTAATTGGCTCATATTATTTGACAGGAAGCTTAAAAATACATCCCACCTCTGAGGCTACTGAACTAATGTTAGCATCTAGCATGAAGCTATCATTAGAGATACAGTGGTAAATGATGTCGCTGTCAAAGTATTAGTGTTTTTATGGCGCAGCTTGACAGGTAGATACATCATAATAGTATTTCAATCAACAAAATATTTAGACTCACCAGCACAGGAGAGCTAAAACGGCGCACAGCAACAACACGCGCAGCTTCTTCATTATCTTCCCGCGGGGACCAACATCCTCGCTTTTTTATCTATTCGCCTCTAATACTGACGACAGAGGCCAAGACTAGCTAATAATGCTAATTGTTCACAACTGTATTAAGTTAAGGGGGTGTGTTCGGCGGTCCAGAACGAACAGTTGGGCTAGTTTCTCTTTTAAACCCCCCGTTGAGAAGCGCTGGCTGCCTGACTGCTTCTCTTCTGCTTCGGCTGCACAGCGCTCACGGCTGCTGCTGCCCCGGCCTCAGCCAATAGGAATCCAGTATCACTTTAACCCCGCCCACTCCTCGAGGTCTGGATGAGTTGGAGGTTTTGTCATCAGACGCGTCAGCTCAAAGATAAGAGATTTGAAATATTGCCAGAGCATTCATATGGGAGAATAATTGAGCTACTTTGTTATATTTAACCCCTTTCGTGTTTAATTCTTGTGGGGTTTAAAATATGACATTCATCTTCATGAGACTTTATAAGCACTTGAATATCCGTTTAACAGTTAAATTACTAGCCTAACTTTAACTTTTTTGTTATGTTTTGTTTTTAATAACTTCATTTTAGGTTTTGAGGAAAACATTTATCAGTGGATTGTGCGCCACCCATAGAAAGTTTTAGCCCTTTACCAGAATTTTATATACATATATATATATATATATTTAGTGCTGTCAAACGATTAATCACATCCAAAATAAAAACAATTCTTTACATAATATATGTGTGTACTGTATATATTTATTAAGTATATATAAATACACACACATACAGTAAATAGTTTGAAAATATGTACATGTATATATTTATATTCAGAGGTGTAAAGTATTGGAGTAAATGTAATTAGTTACTGTACTTGAGTATCTTTTCAGGTACTTTGTAGTTGTACTGAGTATCAAAGATATGAGCAACTTTTACTCTTTACTTCACTACATTTCTGAATGAGTATCTGTACTCTTTACTCCACTACATTTGAAATGAGTGTTGCAGTTACACATTACATTTTGCATGGACCTAGCTTTTTCTGCAGCAGTTTATTTCTGCTACAAAAGACTTGATACTGCCTGCTACAGGTCACTGAAAGTACTGCATCTTGTGCGTTTTGCCCTTACTCACCCAAACTTGTCAACAAGGCTACTTTATGTGAATGCGAGTTCCTTAGCAAGTGTTTGTGAATCAGAGGTGTTTTATGTATGAGATGAGGACATGACTGCAGCCAGCAATGAGGCCCAAACCAGCACATCCACTGCAAGAATGCTTCAGCTTTTTAATTTGACTTAACATTATTTTATATATCCATTATACTGAAGAGACCTTTTTGTAATTTTGAGGTGTTCAGTTTAATTTTGGTTTTAGAAAATAAACGTGATTGCTCTCCTCACAAATCAACTCTTTCTTGTTTTTGTTTCATGCTCGCTGTGCCTTGCCCTGGACTTTTATGTCACTTCCTGTCTCCCGTGGTGTTTGTAGTCAGTTTGTAGTCCGTGGTCTCCCCAGGTGTGTCTTATCTTGTTAAGCTTGTTAGCCCCCTGTGTGTATATATAGCCCTAGTTGTTCTTTAGTTCCTTGTGAGTTGTTGAATGTAATGGTTGTCTGTTTGCCAGTCATTCTGTTCTTTGTTCCCTTTGGTTTTTGGCTTATTGTTTGTTCTAGTTTTTCCATTAAATACCAGCACATAGATGCTTGCCTCTGCCTGTTTTCCGCAGCTTCTCCACAACGTTACAGTTTATCACTGGCATGTCTCTTTGACTAGTGCATCTTTGATCCTATATTTAGTATAAGTAAAATACTTAAGTACTGTTAAAATCAGATACTCTTAAGATGTTTACTCAAGTTGTTTTGGAATTGGTGACTTGTAACGTGTAGTGGAGTAATTTTCACTGTAAAGGTACTTTTACTCAAGTTAAGTTTTTAGGTACTCATTACACCTCTGTTTATATTCATATAAATGATATCATATATAAATATATTTACAGTAATATATAAATGTAACATATTTTTCTTAAATATATACATGCATGTGTGTGTATTTACATATACATAATAAATATACACAGATATATTATGTAAACAAAAACTTTTATTTTGGATGCGATTAATCGATTCGTTTTACAGCACTAATATATATATATATGTGTGTGTGTGTGTGTGTGTGTGTGTGTGTGTTTAAAATTCTGGTAAAGGGCCAAAAGCATTGCGTCTGAAACTTTCTATGGGTGACGCACAACGGCGCACAACCAGACGCATGGTTGTAAACGAATCATTTGTCGAGTCGAATCTTTTAAATTAATTGGATGAACATATTACATACCTATTTTTGAATTTATCTGCATATTTTTATATCCCCCCTGGGAATATAAATTATTGTGCTATCATTATGCATAAGGAAAATGATTATTCTCTGAATACAAATGAGAAAAGAACCGGTTCTTTGCAATGCACGGTTCTTGGGAAAGTCCCAAGAGAGTCCGACTTTCTCATCACTGCTGTAAAGTACCAATGCAGCGCAGAACTACATTCTGCAGACTACATTTCCCATAATGCAACAGTTCAGAACGTCGCGTTATATGCCAGTGTACGTGCACATACATATTTAATACATTCTCGTAAAACACGTGTTCCATAATTTTATACAATTTGTATTAATTTCTTATAAAAAGAGGAAGTACACGTGCTGGCAGATTTAAAAACGATTAATAACATTTCTACGTTTGTGAGGCGGGGTCCTCAAGTCTCAGCATTCCCAACTCGTTTGCTGAGCTGTCCCGAGCAGCTGCTGAAGTTTACAGAAGAACAACGTTTCATCGGTTGTTGATAGTGTTAGAAGTCTAGGAAGATGCGGGGGAGTGTGGAGGTGCTGCGAGTGTGTGTGGCGTGTTTATCGCTGTGTGTGTCTGTGGTCAGCGCTTTCTCTCAGTCTCTGGACAGTGACTTCACCTTCACTCTGCCCGCGGGACGCAAAGACTGCTTCTTCCAGCCCATGAAGAAAGACGCTTCTCTGGAGATCGAGTACCAGGTAACTCACATCTGGAGAGTTCACTCTGATCCAGCCTGTCTGTTGGTGATACTGCAAGACGTTATAACTTCATCAGTTGGTTGTAGTATCAATTAAGTTGAACATATGAGATAATGCACTACATTAAGTTAGCACAACTTAAAATACCACAAAACCATAAAGGTGACTTTAATTCAAAGATGTATAAATCGTGTGAAATGCATTTGTTAATGTTCAAAGTAAGCAGTATGAATGAATGAAAAATATGAAATCATTTTATTATTTATGTGAACATTTGAAGTGAAAGTGAGTGACTATACTTTTTTTCTGCACAGCAAAACAGCAAAGAACAATGTAGTTAAATATAGGTAAAACAATAGATAACATTTCATTGTTACATTATTCTTGTTTTTATTTTTGTGAAAAGGTTTATCTTCATAATTAGCCCCAATTTTTGCCAATTAGCTGGTTGCAAAACAAACTGCAATAATTCTCTTTCAAGCATGATCTAATGCAATACAGTATGCTGCGTTAGGAAAGTTCAACTTGAAGTTGCGACACAATCCTGAAGTTGGAGAAGTGACACAGTGGAGCTAAAGGTCATTTTGGGAGAAGGAAAAGTACCAAAAGGACTGTGATTCATGCCCACAGTAAGCTCAAAGCTTCAAGCTGTGGGGGCAGAATCAGCAGCTCCTTCTGTTGACTCCTCATTAATGGACATCTATGTGTTTCTGTGTGCAGGTTCTGGATGGAGCGAGTCTAGATGTGGACTTCTACATACAGTCGCCCAGCGGTGACGTGATAGCCACTGACTACAGAAAGTCTGATGGGGTTCATACGTACGTTTTACCCACAATCACAGTTTAGTCATATACACTGAGCCAATTACTTCCTGATTATCCGTGCTTGGCCTTTCTTCATTTTTTATGTGACTTTTTTTTACTTCAGAATGGAAACAGAAGAAGGAGACTACATGTTCTGTTTTGATAATACATTCAGTGCAGTTTCTGAGAAAGTCATCTTCTTTGAGTTGATTTTGGACAATATGGAGGACGGCGAGGAATCGGAGGACTGGAAAGCATACGTGCAGGGAGCAGACCTTCTGGACATGAAGCTGGAGGATATCATGGTATGAAAAACACGTGCCAAAGTAATAAGAGTGTCTCAGGCAGCGCATGATGTATAGTACTGTTCAAAAGTTTGGGGTCAGTAGTTTTTGTTTGCTCGTTTATGACTGAATGAAAGATAGAAATCAGTAAGGATGCATTCAATTGTTCAAAAGTGACAGTAAAGACATTTATCATGTTTAAAAAAAGCTGTTCTACCACATCAAACAAATATTGAAACAAATATTAATCATAGTTTCCACAAAACTATTAGGCAGCACAGCTGTTTTCAGTTCTGATAATAGAAAGAAATAATCTGGAGTAATGACTGCTGAAATTCAGAACAGGACGTAATGACTGCTGAAATTCAGAACAGGACTAAATTACATTTAAAATATATATATATATTGATAATACATTCAGTGCAGTTTCTGAGAAAGTCATCTTCTTTGAGTTGATTTTGGACAATATGGAGGACGGCGAGGAATCGGAGGACTGGAAAGCATACGTGCAGGGAGCAGACCTTCTGGACATGAAGCTGGAGGATATCATGGTATGAAAAACACGTGCCAAAGTAATAAGAGTGTCTCAGGCAGCGCATGATGTATAGTACTGTTCAAAAGTTTGGGGTCAGTAGTTTTTGTTTGCTCGTTTATGACTGAATGAAAGATAGAAATCAGTAAGGATGCATTCAATTGTTCAAAAGTGACAGTAAAGACATTTATCATGTTTAAAAAAAGCTGTTCTACCGCATCAAACAAATATTGAAACAAATATTAATCATAGTTTCCACAAAACTATTAGGCAGCACAGCTGTTTTCAGTTCTGATAATAGAAAGAAATAATCTGGATAATTACATTTAAAATATATATATATATATATATATATATATATATAGCAAACTGTTATTTTAAATGGTAATATTTGTACAATATTACTGTTTTTACTGTGTTTTTAGACAGGAGTGTTTTTGTTTTTTTAGAAAAAAAAACGTACTGACCCCATACTTTTGGATTTTAGTGTAATATCTTTTAATATTTGCAAAACCATCAGTGTTCAAATAGAACATCAAGGAATCTTTCCACATATAATAAAATAAAAATCTATATTCAATCTACATTTTACTAG